AGATCTCAGCAAATCGCTGAGATAGCAGATCTATTAATGGTGCGATAAGCTTTCCCTGAGTCAAAAGAGCCTGACAAAATGTTTTGAATGTTTGCTAAATCTGAATGTATGGGATCCACTGCCCGTCCAATGCACCAATTAAGCCAAATTTTCCAGGCTGATCTGTAATTTGCACGGGTTCCCGGTGCCCATGCTTCTGAGAGAATGTCTCTAGTAGTGTTTGAAAATTCACTATGAGATTCAAATGACCCGAAATGAGAGATGCAATCAAGGGTAGTTGGTCCGACAGCACTAGTCGTGGTTAGTCTATCAGCATGCTGAGAAGCTGAGGGAACCATGGTTGTGAGGGCCAGAGTGGGGTTATAACTACTAAGGTCGATTTCTGGGACCATGCTTTCAGAAGTACCCGGGATATCATTGTAAATGGGGGAAAAGCATAATTGATTCCGTCTTTCCAACATTGGAGGAAAGCATCTTGATCTACTGCTTCTGGATCCGGATGCCAACTGAAAAATGTTTCTAGTTGGCGATTGAGTCGTGATGCAAAGAGGTCGTATTGAAATGGACCCCACAGAGCAAGTAGTCATTGGAAGATGTTGGGATCCAACATCCAGTCGCTGTAATCCACTAGGAAACGGGATTTCCAATCTGCTACTGTATTGGAAAGGCCGGGAAGGTATTCTGCTCATAACGTTAAGTTTCAATCGAGGCAAAAATGCCATAATTCTTTGGCAATGTCCGCCAGTTGCTTGGATTTTGGACCTCCTAAGCGATTTATACAGGGAGTGCAGAATTATTAGGCAAATGAGTATTTTGACCACATCATCCTCTTTATGCATGTTGTCTTACTCCAAGCTGTATAGGCTCGAAAGCCTACTACCAATTAAGCATATTAGGTGATGTGCATCTCTGTAATGAGAAGGGGTGTGGTCTAATGACATCAACACCCTATATCAGGTGTGCATAATTATTAGGCAACTTCCTTTCCTTTGGCAAAATGGGTCAAAAGAAGGACTTGACAGACTCAGAAAAGTCAAAAATAGTGAGATATCTTGCAGAGGGATGCAGCACTCTTAAAATTGCAAAGCTTCTGAAGCGTGATCATCGAACAATCAAGCGTTTCATTCAAAATAGTCAACAGGGTCGCAAGAAGCGTGTGGAAAAACCAAGGCGCAAAATAACTGCCCATGAACTGAGAAAAGTCAAGCGTGCAGCTGCCACGATGCCACTTGCCACCAGTTTGGCCATATTTCTGAGCTGCAACATCACTGGAGTGCCCAAAAGCACAAGGTGTGCAATACTCAGAGACTTGGCCAAGGTAAGAAAGGCTGAAAGGCGACCACCACTGAACAAGACACACAAGCTGAAACGTCAAGACTGGGCCAAGAAATATCTCAAGACTGATTTTTCTTAGGTTTTATGGACTGATGAAATGAGAGTGAGTCTTGATGGGCCAGATGGATGGGCCCGTGGCTGGATTGGTAAAGGGCAGAGAGCTCCAGTCCGACTCAGACGCCAGCAAGGTGGAGGTGGAGTACTGGTTTGGGCTGGTATCATCAAAGATGAGCTTGTGGGGCCTTTTCGGGTTGAGGATGGAGTCAAGCTCAACTCCCAGTCCTACTGCCAGTTCCTGGAAGACACCTTCTTCAAGCAGTGGTACAGGAAGAAGTCTGCATCCTTCAAGAAAAACATGATTTTCATGCAGGACAATGCTCCATCACACGCGTCCAAGTACTCCACAGCGTGGCTGGCAAGAAAGGGTATAAAAGAAGAAAATCTAATGACATGGCCTCCTTGTTCACCTGATCTGAACCCCATTGAGAACCTGTGGTCCATCATCAAATGTGAGATTTACAAGGAGGGAAAACAGTACACCTCTCTGAACAGTGTCTGGGAGGCTGTGGTTGCTGCTGCATGCAATGTTGATGGTGAACAGATCAAAACACTGACAGAATCCATGGATGGCAGGCTTTTGAGTGTCCTTGCAAAGAAAGGTGGCTATATTGGTCACTGATTTGTTTTTGTTTTTTTTTGAATGTCAGAAATGTATATTTGTGAATGTTGAGATGTTATATTGGTTTCACTGGTAATAATAAATAATTGAAATGGGTATATATTTGTTTTTTGTTAAGTTGCCTAATAATTATGCACAGTAATAGTCACCTGCACACACAGATATCCCCCTAACATAGCTATAACTAAAAACAAACTAAAAACTACTTCCAAAAATATTCAGCTTTGATATTAATGAGTTTTTTGGGTTCATTGAGAACATGGTTGTTGTTCAATAATAAAATTAATCCTCAAAAATACAACTTGCCTAATAATTCTGCACTCCCTGTATATTTGACTGCTGATATGTTGTCCATCTTGAGAAGGATACAACAAAGGGATTTGTGTTTCGCAAAACTGCGTAGAGCGAAAAACCCTGCCATGAGTTCCAGGCAGTTCATATGCATATTCGGCTCTTCTAGAGACCATTTGCCTACTGTGGAATAGCCTCCACAACGGGCTCCCCAGCCTAATCGACTTGCATCGGATTCTATAGTTAGGTCTGGGAATGACGTGAAAATGGCTTTCCCGTTCCAAATTTGAATGTGATCTAACCACCAGGATAGTTCTGTTCTTGTCTCTGAAGTTAGAGAAATCTTGTCTGAATAGAGGAGACCATTGCGTAGATGTTCTCTTTTCAATCTTTGAAGAGCCCGATAGTGGAGGGGGGCTAGAAAGATAGCCTGGATCGAGGCTGATAAAAGACCTACAATCCGTGCTAAAGACCTGATGGAAATTAATTCCTTCTTTAGAACTGACCTGATCTCTTTTCAAATTGTTTTCAATTTCTGTGATGGAAGGCTGAGAGTGGCTAAATTGGAATTCACTAGAAATCCTAAAAATTATATCTCCTGAGAGGGAGTTAAAACCGATTTTTCATAATTTATTACAAAGCCAAGTCTTGTTAACAGATTTAATGTCCATTGAGAATGTAGTTGAAGAGTTTGCACACTCTGTAACATAATCAATATGTCATCTAGATAGATTATCATTATTACTCCCCTGCTTCAAAGTAGGGATATTACTGGTTTGAGTAATTTGGTGAAACACCAAGGTGCAGAGGATAAATCAAATGGCAATGATTTGAATTGCCATTTCTTCCCTTACCATAGGAACTGTAAATATTTCTGACATGAGTGGTGGATAGGTACCGTGAGGTATACATCCTTCAAATCTATTTTGATCAACAAGTCGTTGAATATCAATAGGTCTTTGAGGTAATAATTTCCCTCCATTTTGAAATGGTGGTATCTGACAACATTGTTTAAGTATTTCAAGTTTATGACTGGTCTGTGACCAGAATTTTTCTTTTTCACCAAGAATAATTTGCTTATGAAGCCTGGGCTGTTCATGGGCACCTGTATGATGGCATTTTTTGAGCATAAACTTAATATTTCTTGATGCACCAGGGCCTGGTCTTGGGTCGAAAAATGTATTCGGAAAGGCATGTTTCTTTGGACGGGGTATGATATAAAATCTATTTTGTAACCTAGAACCGTGTCTAGTATCCAAGAATCGTTTGTAATCTGACTCCAGGCATGGAAAAAACAAGTGAGTCTGCCCCCTAACCCTACCAGGGAAGAAAGGGGGGTTGTCGTACTCACCGGATGAAGATCTGAAGCGAGACATTCCTCGATTGCCTCTTGATCTCCAAGGTCTGCCACGTAGTGGAAAGAATGGAGTTGATTGTTGGGTGTCATATGAGGGCCTGGTGGGTTGAAAGGTGTTCCTTGGAACCTGTCTATGTTGAAAGGAACGGCTGGAAGAACGGTTCCTTCCTCTTCCAGCCCTTCCGAAAACCTTAGAGTTGAGAACTTTCCTCAGGGATGACTGAGCCTTATCAAGGGAACTAAATAGGTTAACATATTTTTTAATGTCTTTAATAAAGGATTCTCAGAATAGGAGACCTTCCGCAGCTGGACCAGGTTCGGAAGTGGCTAAATTTGACAGTTGAGGGTCAATTTTCATTAAAATAGACCTGCGGAGTTCGCTGGTCAACGCTGCGTTAGCATTCCCCAAAAAGCATATAATGCGTTGGGTCCAGCCTCTCAAAGTATGCTGGGAGGATTCCCAGAAGCTGCCGCATGTTCTAAAGTTTCAAACATTTTAGCCACAGGACCAGAAATGTCCATTAATTTATCTTGACAAGATTTTAGTGATCTGTCAAGACCTTTATTTGGGTTCTTCCCTGATTTTGTTAAAAATTGAACAATAGTGGGATCTAGATCAGGGGTCTGTGCAACTTTCTTTGACAAGGTCAGTCTAGGGCATTAAGCTCATAGTTTATTTCTACCCACTTGGTCAAGGGGTTTCCTCAACCAGTATTCAAGATATTTGGCTACATGAGCCATAGGGACCCATTCGGCTGACCTGGGGTGTTTAATATGGTCTGGGTCGAATAATGGCTTACCATTAAAATCCAAAATAATGTTTTCTTCATCAGATTTAGAGATAAGCTCAGGTGTCTCTGAGATATATGAATAATTTGAGGAAGAATCAGAGTCAGATTTTACATCCCCTGAGATTGAAGATGAGTCACTATCTGAGGAGGTTTTATAGGAGTCAGAAAGAACCAAGAGGAAAAAATTCCACTTGGAACGGTAGGGAAAAAAAGAATTATGAGAAAAAAGGGGGAATATCCACTAACCAACTGGTATCACAACCCACACCCTTGGTTGAATAAATACACAAATACTAAAATAAAAAAAGCATAGGAAAACCTAATACCTTAAACCAGGAGTGGATATCCACACCAAAACATAAATATAAAAAAAAAAAAAAGAAATAACTAGATTACTGGATAGCTATTATAGCCAACAAGTGCAATATAGGAATATATTAATTACAATTAGATAAAGTCCACAGTCTTAATGCAAATGTATAAATGTCCAGAGATAGTCCTTATGATGTGTGCTCATATGAAAATCAAATAGCTTGTATACCCCTGCATATATAGCAGGGAAACTTGCCAATATGAGCTAGTTATATAGTAACAAACTGAATACAAGTAGCAAATATCAGTATGTTACAAAAAAGGAAGCAAACAGCCGTCAAATCGGTGGATCCCCTCGACGAGCTGTTTCTCACCACGACCGATACTATCTCTGAAGCCGGCTTTGAGGAGGCAGTATACCGAGAGTCTGCAGAAACACTTGGGGGAAGACATCAACAGGAAAGCTCCCTTTTATCCGCTTTCTGTGAGCTGATTTTATGCAATTATAAGTTTTAACATATCTTTTCGCCCAATAAAGTCTATTTCAAACATATTTTGTGACTTTGGGAAGATTTGTATACTATTCAGCACCACCGTTGGTCAGCAAACTTAAGGAAGGCTTTTATTTTAGATGTATAACTGTTCACTACACAGTTACACTTCTGCTATATTTGACGGCTGTTTGCTTCCTTTTTTGTAACATACTGATATTTGCTACTTGTATTCAGTTTGTTACTATATAATTAGCTCATATTGGCAAGTTTCCCTGCTATATATGCAGGGGTATACAAGCTATTTGATTTTCATATGAGCACACATCATAAGGACTATCTCTGGACATTTATACATTTGCATTAAGACTGTGGACTTTATCTAATTGTAATTAATATATTCCTATATTGCACTTGTTGGCTATAATAGCAATCCAGTAATCTAGTTATTTCTTTTTTTATTTTTTTATTTTTTTTATTTTATATTTATGGTGTTTTGGTGTGGATATCCACTCCTGGTTTAAGGTATTAGGTTTTCCTATGCTTTTTTTTATTTTAGTATTTTTATAGGAGTCAGGTTTGCTCCTGTGAATGGCCTTCCGAGCTCGTTTGTCTTCCTCAGGAGCAGAGGGTCTTTTGAGTGATTGATTACACTAAATGGCTTAGAGCAGCCAGGGGATTCTGCAGGACCGTCAAAGCAAAGTTTGCGTTTCTGGGTGGCCTTCCCAGACCTCCTAAAACCTTGAGCTAGGTTCCGTTCAGACTCCACAGATGACCAGAATTGGTCTGAAGGAGTACTAATTAAATGAGTCTTCTCACTGGGTTTTGAGTTGCTTATGGCTTGAGCCACAGACTTTGCAATTGCTTCTTGCATAGAAGACATTGCAGTATAAATTGCAGTATAAATTGCAGAGGAAACTGACTTTTGAATGCATAAATCCACAATATTTTGTAAAGAATCCTCAGTGAGGATTTCACAGTCATGAGAAACACCAGGTTTTGGTGACTCAATTTGTCTAATCTCTTTAGAATTCATAATTTACAAAATTGCAACAAATAGCAAAATGTTGCCAACTATGAGGGGAAATCCTGACAGGAAAATCAAATAGTTCAAGTTATAATAATAATTACCATTAAAGAGTATCAAGTTGTGAAGAAAAACACTGTCCTGAGGTAAAGTGGGCGGGAAAGTTAGCTGAGGACCAACTAACTGGTATTCCCGCACATAAAACGTCATCAATGTATGAGGGACTAACTGACAGAAACGCGCGTGCAGCGGTTCGCATAAAACTGCTGAAATGACTGAACAGTGAATTGACCGTTCGTATACAAAAAAAACTAAAAACGTGAACGCGAGAATAATAAGGTAATACGAAAAGTAAATGGGTGCAATTCGTGTGAAAAAACTAACGAATGCGATTCATAGAAATAACTGACCTAACAGTTCAAAGACAAAACTACCGAGCGCGGACGAACCATGACTTCATTTCCGGATAGAGTGTATGAAAGACAGTGCACCAAATATAAATACATATATTTTAAAACAATAAGAAGATATAAAATTACTTCAGAAAAGAATATATTCCAAAGGAATAAACACATATGTCAACATATAACCAAACTAGAAGGTATGTATGTATAGAAAACAGTAGCATAAGTAAATATATATGATACTTATCTTTACTGGAGCAGCAAAGAAAGAGGGAGAATATTGGGGATCATTCACTATATGGACTATGCTGGATGCTGATTGGCTACCAACGTTCCATTTCAGTTACTCTGTTGTTTTTATCTTTTTATTTTTATTCACTAAACTTTATTGAAAAAATGTCTTTGCTGCTGGAGTTAAGTAAAGAAAGTTAATACATAATACAAGCATCCTGTCTTGTTATAAAATTTTGATTGCCACATGCCCCTACATTGATTAACACTGTTTACTATTATATGCAAGTAGTGTACCACTAAGATACCTATGCACCTTCCATTATTTCTGAGGATGAAGAATGGAGCTATCACTGCATATCAATTATTTTTTCTCTGGCAGATTACTATGTATTACTCCTCTATCATAAATTCACCAGGCTGACCTGGCCCATTTTTAATTGCTTACACTTAACACGGCAAAATTAATCTGTACATTTCTTGGTCAATCAAAGATCCCAGGCACCACCAAAACAAATGCCTCTACATGTCAACTCATGTAGTCAATAACTATTAACATTTTAGTGAAATTGCCTCACATAAACATATAAAGCATATAATCTATTTAAACTATAAGATGCATTTAAAATATTATACATTATATTTCAGTTTCACTGTATTCCTCCAACATTATTGAACAAAAATGATCAATGAACTAAATATCATACAGCATTTTGGCCTCAAGTCTTAAACATGTATGAAGAAACATAAAACAAATAATTTAATAAAAACATTAATTAATTTGAAAAAGCTTATTGCATAGGTGGAACGTGTTGTGAATTGTTTAACCTAATTGTATTTGCAATAAAGTGTATTTGGCTCATACACATTTGGATTCTAGCCATAGATTTCATTGCTATTTGTATTATTTACATTAGGCGCATCATGTTATTTTTTTATTTGTGTTTTCTGTATCTGGTAATGGCCCACACATTTACCTCTGTCTGGGTTAGTGACATCAGGATGTGTCATAGCATAGTAACTATCAGGGGGAGGTTTCTCTAGCTTGTCTGGTTATCATGGGGACCAAGAAACAAAAGTACACATTGTTGTCTTGAAAATGGACAAAATGGAAAAGGGGTATCAACACAGGTGTAGATTAAGGAGTTATTTAAATCCATGTGTGCACCACATCTGAGTGTCAAGGGCATACGCTCATAATAAATATCAGGTTGCTATGGTAACCAACAGTATCTCAGCTGTGATCTGAAAAGCAAATAGATTTTGCCATGAAAAAGGGAAAGATACACTCTAAGTGGAGCGAGTGCTCTGACTCAGAAATGAAAACAACTAATTATGATGATAGAGATCAGAGCAAATTCCATTCTTAGAAAAAATGATGTCAAAATCCGTATTGAGTCCTTTGAGTTCAAATGCTTTTTTCAAGATCATTTATAAACATGTTAAATAGAAAGGGTCCCAAAACAGAACCATGAGGGACACCAGTTGCCACTTCTGTCCAGCTTGAAAATTTACAATTAATGACAGCTCTTTGTACTCTATCCTTAAGCCAATGTTCTACCCAAGAACAAGCATTTTCATCTAGACCGGTTTCCTTGAGTTTGAACACTAATCTATTGTGTGGAACTGTATCAGATGCCTTGGCAAAATCCAAATAGATTACATCCACTGCAACACCCTGATCTACACTTCTACTTACTTCTTCGCAGAACGCAATCAAGTTCATTTGACCTGAACTGTGTTTTATAAAACCATGCTGATTTTGCTGATAACCATGTTCAAGGAATTTTTGAATATTATCCCTTAATAACCTTTCAAATATTTTCCCAGCCACAGAAGTTAAGCTCACAGGTCTATCATTTCCAGGCAAAGATTTTGAACCCTTTTTGAATATAGGAACCACATCTGCCTTCCTCCAATCCTCCAGAACACATCCTGTAAGAAAAGAATCTTGAAAGATTAAAAACAGAGGTTCACTTATTTCTACACCTAGTTCCTTAAGTACTCTTGGATGAATACCGTCAGGCCCTGGAGCTTTGTTTATATTAACTTTCTTTAGTTGCTGCAGCACCTTGTCTTGAGTTAACCAATTACAATTATTCTGCAAGTTTTTAGCAGCAATCATTTGCACATCTATTGCCATGGGTTCTTCCTTAGTATATACTTGCTAAGGTAGACAACCCAAGGTATTGCAAGTGAGGTATGTCCAGTCTTTTTTAGAAGCCACTTAGTCATAAACACTGGCCAAAGTTAGCGTTCATATTTGTTTTTGCATTTTTAAAACAAAAACTAATATGAAAGCTAACTATGGCTAATGTTTGTGACTAAGTGGCTACTAAAAAACACTGGACATTCCCGATATTGAATATCCTGGGTTCTCTACGTTTTGAAATGGTATGGCATCATGGGGGTAATTCTCAATTCTGGACAAAATGTTTCTCCTGAACAAAATGATATATTATAAGTGTGGGTGCATTTAATATGAAACAGGTGAATTACAGTTGAACAGACATTTAGTGCAAATTCCAGGTTTTGTTTACGTTTTTACGTTAAGGTTACAGATCTAACTTGGCAAAAAATCAAAAAAGATAAAAATGTAAATTATAATACAAAAACAAACAAAACAAAAAAATAAAATAAAAACAGAACAGATCAAACTCTGTGTGATAAAATCTAATAACTGGAAATCAAGTGTCGTAACTAGCGTTATAGTGCATTACACTACCCTATGAAGAGCACGGTTGAGGCGAAATACGCTTCAGGTTTCCATACTCTGTGAGTGATTATTTTAGACATAGGGTAGTGTAATGCACACAAATTAGCACTCCCTCGCCACCCGCCTGAACTCAACTGGCCTCCTGCCCTGGGGGGGGGGGGTGGTCCCACAGGTGGCCAGATGGCCAGCTCTTGGGTCCCCTTAAAAAGAGACTAACAAGGCATTTGCCTGGGAATTTGGGGACAGTGTTTTTTGCTGCCCTCTGAAAAGTGCCAATTGTGTGTAGCACTAGAACTGCACCCCTCGTGATCCTTGTCCTGAGATATGACACATTTTTTAGATGACTTTATCATAAAATCAGCTCAAAATTACAAGCTATATGTGATGTGTGTGTGGTGTGTGCTTTCTGTATGTGATGTGTGTGGTGCGTGGTGGCTGCATGTAAGGTTTTTGGTCATAACCTGTGTAACACCTTCTTGTTTGTCTTCTTTAAGAAAGGAGGTTATGATCCCTAGTGGTCCAGTGGGAAGAGGGGAGGTTATACTCCCTGGTAATCCAGCAAAAACAGTGCAAGCATGTTATTAAAGTTGCTTGCGCTGTGCAGAACAAATACAGGGTCTTTTTCTCATGCTGGAGCTCTTCAGCAGAGCTCTGCGCATGGTCTACCCTGGAAGAGCATTGAACCAACATGCTCACTTTCTGATGGGGCATGTTTTTCATTGGTCCCCGCCCCCTTTTTAGTGGGCCGCTGTAATTAAAAAATGCCCGGGACGAATTTTCTTCCAAGTCTGGCCCTGAACATGGTATCATAAAACATGAGTTTTCTGATGTTCAGAAGAATCTAGCATGCAATCCAGTGTCCTCTTTTAAACAAAATAACCTCTAGATCAGATATAGGCAGCCATTGGTAATGTTTTGGACTACATCTCTCCTGATTTTTTGCCAGCTGCAGTCCAAAACATCTGAAGTGCTGAAGGTTGCCTACCCCAGCTCTAGATAAATGTGGCTCAAACTACCACATATTTTGCTGAACTACCACTTTCATGATGATTAGGGGGCATTTAAACTATTGCCCCCCCGCCCCCTTCCTGAGTGGCGGTTGGGGGCCCTAAATACCCATAAGGGGGGACCTATTGTCCCCCCCAGCCCCCACCCCTGAGTGGTGGGTGGGGGCAATAAATAAAAATTTTGGGGGGGAACCTAATGTCTGCGTGGCGGCCCTAAATAACAATAAGGGGGGGACCTAATGTCCTCCCACCGGCCCCCACCCCTGTGCGGCGGGTGGGGGCCCTAAATAACAATAACCTACTGTCCTATCCCCCCGGCCCCACCCCTGAACGGTTGGTGGGGTCCATAAATAAAAATTTTGGGGGGGACCTAATGTCTTCCCCCCCGGTCCCCACCCCTAAATAACAAGAAAGAGGTCCCCCCCGGCCCCCACCCCTGCGCGGCGGGTGGGGGCCCTAAATAACAATAAGGGGGGACCTAATGTCCTCCCCTCCAGCCACCACCCCAAACCCCTAGTCCCCCACCAAAAAAAAATTACCCATACCTACCTCCCTCATCCTAAAAATAATGAGGGGGGACCCTTGTCTAAATACCTGTAAAAAAAAATAGACTTACCATTTGATGTCTTCTATCTTCTAAAATCTTATTTTTTCAGCCCCAAAAAAGGCCAAATAAAAATCCAGAATAACCAACGCATTTAAAAAAAAAAAAAAATGAGCGCAAAAAAAAACCTGTCACAGCACTCTGATTGGTTGGCTTGAAATCCACCAATTAGAGTGCTCTGTGTCATTTTACACAGCGTGGGAAAGTTCTTTGGAATTTTCCCACGCTGTGTAAAATGACACAGAGCACTCTGATTGGTTAGCTTGAAATCCAGCCACTCAAAGTGCTCTGTGTCATTTTACACAGTGTGGGAAAGTTCTTTGGAGTTCATTTACCTGTCAGAGCACTCTGATTGGATGGCTTAAACCCACCAATCAGAGTGCTCTGAGCCTAATTGCAGGGCGGGGCAAGGCTTTATAAGCCTGCCCCCGCCCTGCAGAGCTCATTCTGCATGGAGTCCTCCATGGGTGAAGATGGATTTTTTGTTTTGCGCTCGTTTTTTTTTTTTTTTAAGTGCCTCAGTTATTATGGATTTTGATTTGGCATTTTTTGGGGCTGAAAAAATAAGATTTTAGAAGAAAGAAAAAAATCAAATGGTAAGTTTTATTTTATCTTTTTTAACCCCTTAAGGACGCATGACATGTGTGACATGTCATGATTCCCTTTTATTCCAGAAGTTTGGTCCTTAAGGGGTTAACAGGTACTTAGTTAATGCCCTCTCTCATTATTTTTAGTGTGAGGGGGGAAGGTAGGGGTTAGTTTTTTTGGGGGGAGTGGGGTGACTAGGGGTTTGGGGACCCCTAGTCACCTAGGGGGGATTTTTATTTATGACCCCCACCCACTGCTTAGGTAGGTCCCTCCCCCTTTATTGTTATTTACAGCCCCCACGCACTGCACAGGGGTGGGGGCCGGGGGGGAGAACCTTCGGTCCCCCCTTATTGTTATTTAGGGCCCCCAACCGCCGCTCAGGGGTGGGGGCCGGGGGGGGAGGTCCTTAGTTCCCCCCCTTATTGTTATTTAGGGCCCTCATCCACTGCGCTGGGGTGGGGGCCGGGAAGAAGGACATTAGGTCCACCCCCAATTTTTATTTATGGCCCCCACCCACTGCTCATGGGTGGGGGCCAGGGGGGAGGACATTAGGTGTGTGTCCCCATTTTTTATTTAGGGTCCCCACCCACCGCACAGTGGTGGGGGCTGTGGGGGAGGACATTAGGTCCCCCACAACTTTTATTTTTGGGCCCTCACCCACCGCTCAGGGGTGGGGTCGGGGGGAGGACATTAGGTCCGCCCTATTTTTTATTTATGGCCCCCACCACGTAGGACAGTAGGTTCCCCCCCCTTATTGTTATTTAGGGCCCCCACCCATCGCATAGGGGTGGGGGCAATAGGTTTTTTTTTTGTTTTTTTTTTACAGTTAGCAGCCAGTGGACACGGTATAGCAAGTAGGGGCTAGATTTACTAATACTAAGTGATCTTTACTTAGTATTAGTAAATGTGGCTGAAAGACCAATTTAGGTGACCAATTTAGGTTTTTCAGCCTTTTGGTAGATAGCTCCCTAATACCGTGTGAATTAGGGAGTTATCTACTAAGCGGCTGCTTATTTTATGTTATTTTTAAGTGATTTCCCTATCCACATTTGTTTGCAGGGCACTTGTCCTACTCTTAACCCCATTTCACTTCCTTTTGCAGCCCTCTAGCCCTTTCCAGGAGTTTTTCAGCGGCATTTCAGCTGCATTTTTGTGTTCGGGGTCAAGTTTGGGATCAAGTTCGAGCCCGAACCCGGACTTTTTTTCAAAGTTCGGCCGAACCCGCTGGACCCGAACATCCAGGTGTCCGCTCAACTCTAATCAGGAATATCCAGGGTTCAATTTCCAGAAGTGGAACTATAACTGCCATGAGCATTTTTATCTTTTTGCATTTTGGTTTCTTTTTGTAAGAAGGTGAATTACTGGCACTTACAAGGTAAGCAGCCAAAAATAGCACATGCGAGTCAACTATAACAGGTTTATTTTCTGTGTAAATAAAGCTTAAATAGAAGAAGACTCCCTACAGTAGATCCTTTCTATATCTTTCATAGATTTTAAGGATTGTGCCTGAACCTTTTTTGGTACAAACAATTATATTTTCAGAGAGCTTTTACTCTGAAATATTTTATTTCAGAAGTTCATCGACCTCTAGCTAGAAATATAGATTTGAATTTCATTTGAGTTCAATGGACCAGTGTGACCGTCTCACATATATAGTTAGATTGATGCAACCATGCGTCTATTCTGCTGAATGCTAATGGGATTTAACACTTTCATTTTTTCATTATGATGTTATAGAAAACATCAAAGCAGTATATAAATGCAGTTGCCTTTCCAATACCAGTTCAATATAACTCAGTTGGCCTACATTTTACAAACTGGTTCATAACTCACCACTGAGATATAGTTAATAGATTCCACATGCCAAAGGAGGAGATTGTGATATTTCTTTCAAGCAGATGGCACTATTTGACTTCTTGTCTACTTATTACCTTTTTTAATTATGCACAGGACTACAACAGTTTGACCATTAATTGATACTGTTAATTGTTTGAGTTTGAATTAAATAACCAGTCCTCAGATTTTCATTGTGTAGCATGTCCACTTGACAATCAGAGGATTAGCAATGTTAGATTATTGATTTGTACTCACTTCTTATGCTCTCCACTATAGCTTGAAAAGACGTTAGAGGCTAATTATGAGGAACAACTGTGAGACAGAGATCAATATTCAGGGACATTCCAAATGGTTACTATGGTAATGACCACTTTTAGACCCGAATAGTTTTTTCTAATTAACCCTCATTTATTGCACTGCATGTTTGGTCTGATGCTAGATTTATGTCTACCGGCTATATATGTGTGTGTGTGTGTGTGTGTATGTGTGTGTATATGTGTGTGTGTGTGTGCGTGCCTCTATATATATTTGAGATATATCCAAAATTCAAAGCAATACAAATATAAGGCTTGATTTTCCGTTTTTTCACATTGAAATTTGCCAGATTGGTTATGTTGCCTATGAGAGCGTATGGTAGCCCAGGAATAAGAATTACCCCCACGATGGAATACCATTTGCAAAAGAAGTCAACCCAAGGTATTGCAATTGGATATGTTCACTCTTTTTTTAGTAGCCACTTAGTCACAAACACTGGCCAAAGTTAGCTTACATAATTGTTTTATTGCATTTTTAACACAAAAACAAATATAAATGCTAGCTTGGGCCAGTGTGTGTGACTAAGTGGCTATTAAAAAACATTGGACATACCCCATATTGAATATACTGGGTTGTCTACTTTAAATAAAATATGTACATGTGAGGTGTGATTCAGAGATTTATGACAGATAACAGTGTTACAATGTCACTATTGATAAATTTTAAAAATATATATTTTGAAACAGCAATGTCCTACTTGTACGTATAGCTCTATATTTACTAAAATAATTTTCTGTGTCTTTTAATCTGTATTGACTAAAGTTTTAGTTACCAATAGCAATATTCTCTCATTAGTTATATTCCTTATATAACTAAAGGCACACTTATTGGCTAATGATTGGGAGTATGAAAAGCTAATTGATAAATAATTCAAAAAGAATGGTGGTACCGAATGATCAAGAATTATTTAAAACATTCCTGTAAAAAGTAGTTTATGACTTCATATTTTGCACAGATAGCACAAGCAAATGTTTGTGATCTACCATATATACTCGAGTATAAGCCGACCCGAATATAAGCCGAGGCCCCTAATTTTACCCCAAAAAACTGGGAAAACTTATTGACTCGAGTATAAGACTAGGGTGGGAAATGCAACAGCTACTGGTAAATTTCTAAATAAAATTAGATTCTAAAAAAATTATATTAATTGAATATTTATTTACAGTGTGTGTATATGATGAATGCAGTGTGTGTGTATGAGTGCGCAGTGTGTGTATGAGTGCGCAGTGTGTGTATGAGTGCGCAGTGTGTATATGAGTGCAGTGTGTGTGTATGAGTGTGCAGTGTGTGTATGAGTGCAGTGTGTATATGAGTGCAGTGTGTATATGAGTGCAGTGTGTATAAATGCAGTGTGTGTATGAGTGCAGTGTGTGTGTATGAATGCAGTGTGTGTGTATGAATGCAGTGTGTGTGTATGAGTGCAGTGTGTGTGTGTGTGATGCAGTGTGTGTGTGTGATGCAGTGTGTGTGTGATGCAGTGTGTGTGTGTATGAGTGCAGTGTGTGTGTGTGATGCAGTGTGTGTGTGTGATGCAGTGTGTGTTTGTGTTGCAGAGCTTTGGTGGGGGTGGGCATTTTTATAAAAAAAAATAATTTTTTTGGTTATATTACTTTTTTAATTATTTTTTAGTATTATTTATATTTATATATTATTAATTGATATTATTTAAAAAAAAATTGTTATATTATTTTTTTATTATTTATATATTATTTTTTTTAAATTATTTTTATTTATTATTTTTTTATTATTATTTATATATTATAAATTTATTTATTTTGTTGTCCCCCCTCCCTGCTTGATACATGGCAGGGAGGGGGGCTCTCCTTCCCTGGTGGTCCATTGGCAGTTCAGTGGGGGGAAGAGGGGGGCTGGCAGCGAGTGCTTACCTCTCCTGCAGCTCCTGTCAGCTCTCTCCTCCTCCGCGCTGGTCCGTGCAGCTCTTCTCTCAGCTCACACTGTAAGTCTCGCGAGAGCCGCACTATGACCCCGCGGTTCTCACGAGACTTACACTGGGAGCTGACCGAGGTGCTGACCGGACCGGCGCGGAGGAGGAAGGAGCTGCAGGAGAGGTAAGCGCTCTCTGCCAGCCCCCAGTCTGTATTGTGGCAATGTAAGTTGCCATAATACAGACACTGACTCGAGTATAAGCCGAGTTGGGGTTTTTCAGCACAAAAAATGTGCCGAAAAACTCGGCTTATACTCGAGTATATACGGTATTTATTTTTTACAGGAAAATGGAGGGAAATCTATTATAAGCCAGGTGGATTTCCAGTGCAAGGATGCTTTTAAAAACCTGTGCTATAGCATGTAAAAGGTGACACACTTGGAATAAAAAATAATAATAAAGTAAGCTCCCCCATTTCATTGTGTTTTTTTTTTTTTTTGCGTAACCCAAGTAAGAGAGAGCAAAATTTCATCCGAAATTACTAAAAGCTACGAACCCATCAAGAAAAGGAAAAAAACACAGGGAGTAATAGAGTCCCTTAGGGCCCAAATATGTGAAGAAAGGTTAAGCCCCATAGAGAGGCTCAAGAATGTAAGGGGAGTTAAAAAAAAGAGAAAGGATAAAAAGACGAGAGAGAAGCCTTAAAAATGAAGGGGTGAGTCAGTTGTGTGTAGGGTAAAGGTAGAAGGGTATGGTAGCAGTCCATGAAAATTACATTGGAGTGTACGTGTGGGTGTGGGTGGTAATCAGTGATGAAAACAATTCATGGGGCCCTTCATGGAGTTTCCTTCTTCAATTATCTGAAGTTGTGTCTAAATTTCATTTCAGATTCATAATATGTTATTCTCCGCCAAAAGACTTTTGTTAAGTACTTAATACAGGGTGGGACAAAATTCAGAGTAAGGTTTAAGGAGTCAGTAACTTTTTTTATTAACCCCTTAATGGACCACTCTAGGCACCCAGACCACTTCAGCTTAATGAAGTGGTCTGGGTGCCAGGTCCAGCTAGGATTAACCCATTCTTTTATAAACATAGCAGTTTCAGAGAAACTGCTATGTTTATGAATTGGTTAAGCCTTCCCCCAATTCCTCTAGTGGCTGTCTCATTGACAGCCGCTAGAGGTGCTTGCGTGCTTGTCAATGTGAAAATCACAGTGAGAGCACGCAAGCGTCCATAGGAAAGCATTGATAATGCTTTCCTATGTGACCGGCTGAATGCGCGCCCAGCTCTTGCCGCGCGTGCGCATTCAGCCGCATGGGAGGAGAAGAGGAGGATCGGAGGAGGAGAGCTCCCCGCCCAGTGCTGGAAAAAGGTAAGTTTTAACTCCTTTCCTCTCCCCAGAGCCGGGTGGGAGGGGGACCCTGAGGGTGGGGGGCACCCTCAGGGCACTATAGTGCCAGTAAAATGTGTATGTTTTCCTGGCACTATAGTGGTCCTTTAAGACCGCAGGACGTTCTATGCCGTCCTTAAAAAAGCAGCTCTAAATGCTGCAGGGCCGCATAGAACGTCCCTGTGATATTATGTACCTACCCGGTCGCCGGCGATCCCATGCCAGTGATCGCGGTATGGGGTCTCACCTGGGAGCCCAGGAAGTCCCCCTCCTTCCTCTTCGGCCCCTCTGGGCCATGTGATTGCGAGGTCCTTGCATATTTCCATCGCCCTTCAAACATGCAACTGTAACCCCAATTCTAAAGAAGCCCAACCTTGACCCTAACTCCCTGTTCAACTACCGTCCTATCTTGCTACTGCCTTTTGCGTCCAAGATCCTTGAAAGAGTTGTGTATGTGAGATTGACAGACTTCCTCGAGTCCAACTCTCTGCTACACCCGCTTCAGTCTGGTTTCCGTGCTAAGCACTCTTTGGAAACGGCACTGACCAAAGTATCCAATGATCTACTCGCTGCATAATCTCATGGTCACTGCTCTATCCTAATTCTCCTTGACCTTTCTGTGGACTTTGACACAGTTGATCATCAACAACTTTTATTCCTCCTCCGCAATATTGGTCTATAAGATATTGCTCTCTCCAGGTGCTCCTCTTACCTTTCTCAGTGCTCTTTCAGTGTTTCTTTCTATGGATCTGCATCTTATCCCCAACTCTTTTCTGTTGGTGTCCCCCAAGGTTCAGTTCTTGGTCCCCTCTTGTTCTCTATCTATACTGCCTCCCTTGGTAAACTCACTAGCTCCTTTGGTTTCCAATATCATTTCAATGCGGATGACACGCAAATCTATCTGTCCTCTCCTGATCTCTCCCCATCCCTCTTGATTAGTTTCTTCGACTGCCTCTCTGCTATTTCTAAGTGGATGGCTGCCCACTTCCTTAAACTCAACTTGACCAAAACTAAAATTCTGGTCTTTCATCCCTCAAGTGTTTTTATTCCTGTGTCTGTTTGTCTCCAAGTCAACGGTGCTAACATCAGCTCCACCAACGGTGGTACCATCAGCTGTACCATGTCAACGGAGCTACCATTGCTGCCTAGGTGTTCTCTTTGACTACAAACTTTCCTTCATGCCTAATGTACAGTCTATCGCCAAATCCTGCTGCTTCCATCTAAAAAACATTGCACGCAACCGACCCTACTTAACACCAGATGCGACTAAGGTGCTGGTCCATTCTACTGTCCTTTCTCTCCTTGACTACTGTAATCCACTTCTCAGTGGTCTTACGTGCTCCCAACTCGCTCCATTACAGTCCATAATGAGTGCAGTGGCGAGGCTTATCTTCCTGTTGCCCTCACCTCCCATGCCTCACCCTTCTGTCAGTCCCTACATTGGCTGCAGCATTTAAAATTCAGTTTTTTGCTTTCGAATTTCTACATAATGCTGCTCAAACCTATCTATCCCCCCTAACACACAAGTATGTTCTGTCTAGGCCCTTACGCTCTGCTGAAGGCTTACGTCTATCTTCTGTCCGTACTTCCACCTCTGATGCTCGCCTTCAAGACTTCTCGAGGGCTGCACCGTTCCTGTGGAACTCACTTCCCTCCTCCGTTAGGTGCTCACTCAGTCTCCATTCCTTCAAAAAATCATTAAAAACCCACTTCTTCACAAAAGCGTATCAATTAAACTGTTAATAGCTCCTGACTTATTCCTCTCTTGCAACTGTCATTAGTCTAATACTATCTTTACCTTTTGTGTCACTTTACCCCACTCCCTCTAGCATGTAAGTTCATTGAGCAGGGCCCTCAACCCCTCTGTTCCTGTGTGTCCAACTTGTCTGGATACAACTACATGATTGTTTGTCCATCCACTGTAAAGCGCTGGGGAATTTGTTGGTGCTATATAAATAATAACATAATAATAATAATAATAATAATAATAATAAAAAGAAAGGAGGAGACTGGCAGTTTTTAAAGTCTATTGAATGTCAATTATATTGCTACACAAGGCCTGTTTGCAATAGAACATCTTAATTATGCTTATATTAAGTTCATTTACAGATGGTTAGGTAGAAAATTGGAATGAAGGGAATTTGTAGGGTTGGTTTGACATATGGTAGAGTGAGATAAGAAAATACACTTTATACGTACATATTTTTAAAACTGAAAAACAACTGGGGGTCTGGGAATTGTATGATGAGCCCATACAGTTAATTATATTGTCAGTACATAAACATGTGGAGTATTTTGCCATAGCTAATTGGAAAATG